CCACCGCAGCACATCATCCGCGGGGTAAGGGCCTCGGGCGCCGGGCCGGCGACACCCATCCTTTTCCGAGAAAACCTGGCCTCCCCCCCTCCCCCCCAAAACCAGAGCGGTCCACGCCCGAGGGTGGTCCGGGGCTCCCTGTCCTGGGGGTCACCTTCCCGAGTCCCACGGGCTTCTGGTTGGCCCCCCAGGACCTGAAGCAGCAGGAATTCTTCCTGGGGTGCAGCAAGGTCAGCGGGAAGGTCGACTGGAAGATGCTGGACGAGGCCGTCTTTCAGGTGTTCCAGGTAAAGGGGGTGCTCGTGCTGGGGGCGGGGGGGCCGGGAGCTCGGCTCCCTCCCGGGGACACGCCCACCCCTCCCTCTCCGTCTCCCATGTCCCGCCACGTTGCTGTTTCTTGTGCGTGGTCGTGTGTGTCGTCTCCCCTCGGGGCCTCACCGCCGCCCCCGTCCCCCTCCGCGGTCAGGACTATATTTCCAAGATGGACCCAGCCTCCACCCTGGGGCTCAGCACCGAGTCCATCCAGGGCTACAGCATCAGCCACGTGAAGCGGGTGCTGGACGCCGAGCCCCCCGAGATGCCGCCCTGCCGCCGAGGGGTCAATAACATCTCACTCTCCCTCCAAGGTCAGCCTCGCCCGTGGCTGCGGTGGGACGGGGACGTTTTTTTGAATATATATATTTTATTGATTTTTTACAGAGAGGAAGGGAGAGGGATAGAGAGTTAGAAACATCGATGAGAGAGAACATCAATCTGCTGCCTCCCACACACCCCCGACTGAGGATGTGCCCACAACCAAGGCACATGCCCCTGACCGGAATTGAACCTGGGACCTTTCAGTCCATAGGCCAAACCGGTTATGGTCAAATATTTTTTCAATATGTTTTTATTGATGTCAGAGAGGAAGGGAGGGGAGGGGAGAGAGAGAAACATCAGTGATGAGAGAGAATCATGGACCGGCTGCCTCCTGCACGCCCTCTACTGGGGATGGAGCCCACAACCCGGGCCTGTGCCCTGACCGGGAATCAAACCGTGACCTCCTGGTTCCTAGGTTGATGCTCAACCACTGAGCCACACCAGCTGGGTTCCCAGGGAAATTTCTGCCAAGTCCACCCACAAACCCGTAGCTCACAGCCAGTGAGGCTGGATCCCTAAAAACACCACCCACCCGTCAGCCCTCGGTCAGGGTCAGGGGCCTCCTGTGGAGCCCGGGGCGCGTGGCCCGGAGTTCTGGGGTCCCGTGGGCTCCCGGATGCGGAGGGAGACGCCCTGGGCCCCCCCACTCCAAGACTCACGCGGTGGGCCGGCCCAGGTCTGAAGGAGAAGTGCGTGGACAGCCTGGTGTTCGAGACGCTGATCCCCAAGCCCATGATGCAGCACTACGTCAGCCTCCTGCTCAAGCACCGGCGCCTGGTCCTCTCGGGCCCCAGCGGCACCGGCAAGACCTACCTGACCAACCGGCTGGCCGAGTACCTGGTGGAACGCTCCGGCCGCGAGGTCACCGAGGGCATCGTCAGCACCTTCAACATGCACCAGCTGTCCTGCAAGGTGGGCCCTTCCCTTGTCGGGGGGCCCCTTCCCTCTGCCCCGCCCGCCTCTCCTGCACCCGCCCCCCCACCCCCCC